GCTAATATAATTTCTTCCTCAATGTCTCCTCTAATTGTACAAATTTTACCCAACCCTTTGCAAGCGTCGGATGAGTATCCACCACCTTTAGAATAACTTTATAGCAACACCCTTCAATCGTTTCAATAAAACATGTTTATATTGGAAAAGCCATATTAGAATGTAAACATAAGAACTAGAATTAAAATATTGTATGCGTATCATTACAACATTCTCATGTAGCTTAAGACCCGCTTGCTTTGTAATAACCTGCATAACCTGTAGAAAGAAAAATGGTGCGATCATAATCATTCACATACTTCCCGAAAGAAATTTTGAACGATTTATTAGAGAAATTTGAAGCGTCGTAAGAAAAATATTGTTATAAAAGACATCATGCATCATCTAAAGAAGGTTTACATTTTTTCTTTTCATCTTTCTTCTGCATAACCAATGCCCCTCTCAAAGCAACTGAATGGAAACACACAGCTCAACTCCCCCACAATGAGCGAGTTGTAGAAAGTGAATAGAATCGAGCGAAATACAGGTTTGTTTTCACAGGTTCGTCTACTGTAGCATGCCCACTTGCCCAAAATTATCCTATTCGCAGCAACCTTATGTTTTATAAAGTTTTACTAAAACTGCTTGTGTTATGGGGAAAAAAGTAAAAGAAACAACAATAGAAAAAAGTTTTGAATTTTACCTTCAGATTAATTTGTGTCAACCACCATAGGAGATTTGCCGCCAAGCTTCAAAACAATGGGTGTAAGATGCTTTGCAACAGCATCTGAGATGACGCATCCTACCTTCTCATTTTCTGCACGTTACTCATTAAGTAACTCGATATCATTAATTTTTTCGAGTAAAACAATAGAAGTTTCGCAACAAATAAGTTCATTTCTATAATAAAACTCCAATATTAGTAGAGGATATTGTTATATTTCTATCACGGGAAGTAACAAATTAAGGGAAGACAAAAACTAAAAAGAAGAAGAAAAATCTGCAGCTTAATTATATAAATTCCAAAATTTTCTAAAACAACACAATGAACTCAAGGGAACAAAAAATACAGGAGAGATGGGTTTTATGATTGTCATATACCTGTGAAGAAATATTGTCCCATTTTCTCTCGAGCAATGAAGTTGCTTCAGGCACAACACCCTCGACAACTATAACAGCTCAAGTGTCAAGACACTCTCCAGAGCAAGGAGGATGTTGCGGGCACCACCTAGATGGGTTCAAGAGCACGACCTCACCAGCTGCTAAACTCCAATGAGTCAATGACGGGAGTAAGTAGCAACACTGCACAAAAAATAGAATTGAAATTTGAGTAAGTCGTAACAACTAACAAGTGCTTATTAGTTATTTATACCAAAAAAGCCACCAAAAAAACAGTTATTTGTGTCCTTTTTGGGACTGCAGGAAAATATGAGAGATGAAAATTTTAACACATGAAAGACAATAATAATTAGGATAACAAACTTACAAAATGGAAAGTTCAAATTAGATATGACTAAGACAATACCCAGAGGTT